CCCCAGTTCACTCTTCACAAGACTTGTGCTCCAGACCCCTCACCAGCATCACTGCCCTTCTCTGGACACGATCCAGCACCTCAATGTCTTTCCTGTATTGAGGGGCCCAAAACTGAACACAGCATTTGAGGTGCAGCCTCACCGGTTCCGAGTACAGGGGGATGATCACTTCCCTACTCCTGCTGGCCACACTATTTCTGATACAAGCCAGGATGCTCTTGGCCTTCTTGGCCACCTGGGCACACTGCTGGCTCACATTGAGCAGCTGTTGACCAACACCCCCAGGTCCTTTTCCAACGGGCAGCTTTCCAGCCACTCTTCCCCAGGCCTCTAATGTTGTATGGGGTTGTTGTGACCCAAGTGCAGGACCCAGCACTTGGCCTTGTTGAACCTCATACAGTTGGCCTTGGCCCATCAATCCAGCCTGTCCAGATCCCTGTGTAGAGCCTTCCCTCCCTCAAGCAGATCAACACTCCCACCCAACTTGGTGTCATCTGCAAACTTGCTGAGGGTAAATCATGAATGTATGACCAAGGGTTACAGACCTATAAACTTTTTTTCTTCAAAATGGCTGCCTTCCCATGTGTTGATGACAGAAATGAAGCCCTTGCAATGTTTTTTGTTTTCTTATGGTGTCAGCATAGGAAGTGAGAGGAAAAGCATTACTAAAGCTGCATGCCACTTTCACTCAAGTGCCCACTGCACTCAAGAATTTGGAAGCTGGCCCTGTAACCAGAATGGCTGCCACTTAATGCTGGTAGTGAAACTAGGCCCATGGACTGCCAGGATTCTCATGAGCTCTTTGAAATGTCACAAGAGTAGAAAACTGAAAAAGGAGGCGTGAATGAATTTAAGAAGCCTGGGGACCTGGAGCATAAGCTCCCCACCTCAGAGCATGGGTGAGGGGACAGTGCCAGCAGACGAGCACAAAAAGCCAGCGTGCCAGTGCTCCTAAAAGAAGTTGTGGTGATGAGGGACAGAGCTGGTACTGGAGCGGAAAAAGCTTCTCCAGCTGCCTGACTTTGAGCTGAGTGCTGGTGTCCAGCCCTGAGAAAGCAGCCTGGCC